TAAAAAATTCAGGTATAGATAGAAGCAGTCAGTTTGAATGAGAATTTAGTTTTCCATCAACATGAGGATTATTCAATCTAATTTTGCTGTTTTGCTATGAAGATTGAATTTAATTTACTTAATGTTTTCATATGTAAGCAAAATTTTCTACATTAAAAATGAGAGGGAAAAGATCAAGCAGTGTAATCCAGGTTTGATCTAAGAAAGATATGATATCAAGCAGTGACCTTTATGCCTAAAGTGCACATAGCATAGTGGCTTGCAACTGGACAGGAACGTGAAGAAAACAGTAAATTAAAGATCAAATGATCTTTAACTGACTCTTCATTGTTTTAAAAAATAATTACAGTTTTGGAAACATCACTATTTAACATTTCATTTTTCACCTGGCTTCTTTGTCTCTCTTCCTGCTCCAAATTTCTTGGTCTTAAGAAATGTTAGGTAAATAGTAGAGGTATCAGTAACAGTTCAGTTGTACAGAACAGAAACCACTCTAGCTTTCTTAGATAAATAATAGTCATTTAATTTTGAATGGTAGGTGTTTTGCAACATGTATAGGAAGAGAAGAAGTAGGCAAATATCAAGAGCCCTTCCAGCCTTCCGGAGTCAAACATGCCTGTTATTGTCCAAAAAGCATACATCACTGTCTCAAGTACTGTAGACCACAAAACTGTATCTCTTCTGCTACTATCTATGGAGAAAATAATGTCCTGTATCTTGCCTTTCTCTTTACCTAACTCAGCCTCTAATTAAGGAAGATAAAGGCATTTTGAAAAAGTGAACACACCTCCCCCAACCCACACACTACCTAAACGCTGAGCTACAGTGGAAATGTAATTAATTTTCCCAAATTATTTTCCAGTGAGGCACAGTAAGTGGAGATTAGGGGGAAAAAATATTATGTCAAAAAAACTGTGCCAATTTATGTTTTATGCCATCATATTTACCAAGTAAAGCACTGTGGGTTTTCTCTCCTTTTGTCTCATAGCCATAAACAGAGAACTAGGATTGATTAACTTACTGTTAGAAAGTAAAATTGATATTATGCCTCATAATATTCAAAGGAACATGGAAAGTGCTGCTGACAAACTATTTTTTTAAAAAACTATGTATCTGTTTACTAAGTGATACTTAATAAACAGTTGTGTTTGTTGTTTAGCAACATCTTGATACTTTTAAGCATACAGTGCTTCCCTATGGAATGGAAGATTGCTTTATTTGATGGATGTTCATCAAAGAGTGGCTTTGATATTTGTAGTAGAGGTCAGCCTTCATTGAATACTCTTATTACAACAGTGATAGAATATTCATCAGTTTTCATGGTGTTTTATCATTACTGTATGTCATTTAATTTATATACATATATACACTATAAATATAAGTATAAGCATAAATATAAGCATAATACATTTACATGTACATACACATAATGATACAAATATGTACAGTCCACCAAAAATATACATATACTTCAGCACTTTAACATACTAACAGATGTCTGGAAGTTAATGGCTACCACTTTGAGCATCTCTTATACTTATAGAGACCAATTAACTTGTGTTAATCTCATGATGTCTTAAAAAATTTGGTATTAAAATATTTATATATTTTTCTCTTCCCAGTGTACACATTTTTTGGCAGGCTCTGTATTGAACTTCTTACCAGCTTGTACCTACTCTGAATGGACATGTAGCTTCTCCTCACAATAAAGATCATTTTTGTAGAGCATGGACGTATTCATCCGATTCATAGAAAGGTTACTGTACTTTTTACCTTTTCTTTTTTTTTAATTTTAAAGATAAAAGAATGAAACCATCTTAATGAACACATGTACATTTAGAAAATAACACAAAAGCGACACAAGCAATACAGAATCTCAGAAAAGGTGACAGGAACTATTCATTAACAATGATTGTTGTACTACATAATGATGTCCTCAATTTGGATACTCAGATAAGCAAATATAGACAGGTAAGATTGATCACACATTTAAACATTAACTGTTCCTTTCTATAGAGCAATAAAAGTCATCATTTCAATCTTCATGCACTAGTCTTTCTTAGTATTGGGGACTATAAGCATGTTTTATCTGATTTTCAGGAGCAATTTTACATGAGATTTGCAAACACAACTGAAAAGAAATCGAAAAACTTCCATATTATAAATCAACTCATTTCTAGAGTAAAATAAGGGAATTGAGAAAATGATAGCTTAATAACAAACATTCACAGAGGTTATAATTTCCAGCCAATGTTCTCTTTGCTCTTTAATTTTGATTATGGAGGAATACATTAAGTATGGTATCATATGATGTTAGTTATAGTCTGAAAGACTTTTTTTTTTTGTCTTTTTTTTTTTTTTTTTTGTCTTTTTTAAGACAGGGTCTTGCTAGTTCAGGCTAACCTTGAGCTCACTTTGCAGCCCAGGCTGGTCTCGAACTTGCAAGTGTTCTCCTGTCTCAGCCTCCTGAGTGCTGGGATTACAGGCGTGCACCACCACGCCTGGCCTCTGAAAGACTTTCATAAGGCTACCACAAAGATATTTGAGGTGAATTGTAATACATGCATTGTTCAACTGGTCTATCTCCCTCTCTCCCTCTCTCTCTCACTCTCTGTCTCATTTATATGTCATCCATCCTTTCGATTATAAGGACTTTTCCTGTTATTAAATATGTTAGCTCATTATAAAACAGAAAATACAGTAATTGATATGATTATTTCATACGTTAAAGTTTTAAAATGTTATTTTTCATGTGTATCATTCACTAATATGATAAAAGTTTAAACACGAACAAATGTTTGCTTTTCTGTAAAAAGTATATTATATAAAATACTACTATGTGATGCAGAGATGTAAGATGAAGTATTATTCACACCGAATTCTGTTTGCCTTTTTTAAAAATACCAATTACTTTAGCTGGGCAAATATTTGTCCAGAGTAAATACTACTTCTTGAAGCTTCTCTAGCAACAATTTGTGAATAGATACTATAGCTCACTTCCAGTCAATGAGATCATAGAAGAAAATAACTGAATCCTGTCTTGCAATGGGAGGAAGCATCCTTCCTTCATTCACTTTACACTGCTTTCAAGAAGACTGATGTGGAGTGGTATTTCTTCTATCATATAAATGAGTTCAACTCCTCAAAAATGTTGAGCCCCAAGACATAAAGATCCTGAGTTTTTGATGACTACAGAAGGTACAGCAATCCGACCAACTTAGAAATTTATAAAAGAGAAGAATACACTCCTTTTGTTAAACTTATTTTGGGATATGTCATTGTATCATGTATTTTAATTTTAAAAAATTAACTTTTGATCTCAGCTTTTGGTTAATTTTCTTAACTGCACCCATATACGTCTTACAAATTTTTTTTATATTATAGAGATCTTTGTTTTGATATTTGTGACAAACATAAAAAATAGTCAGTGTAGCTAGAGAACCTGTATTTGTACACACATCGTCTTTTCCCATTTAATTAAATATTTTTCAATTTATCTTTAGAGTATGCTATTTTGAAATTTATCTGGGCATTGAACTTTAAAGTATAAAAAGCAGTTTGATATACAATACATAACTACACACTTACTGAATACACAAATCACAGGAATAATTTTGAATAAGTATTTTCAAGCAACTGTAAAATAAAGACACTATGTTTAACAAATTATAGGCAAATGATCCACAGATAACATTCAGAACTGTAGCTTTAGCACAATGATTACAATTTTCAAGATCCTAATGCCCTCAGCTGTAAAATTGAGAGAAAAAATAGTCCCTGTCTTCTAAAAATACCATTAAGCTAAGTGCAAAACTTGGTATTTTCCAATACACAATGAGACAATAACATCAGTCGAGCAATGACATCCTGATATACTAAAAGTTGCTGAAATCTAATTTAGAATCTTTTCCCCTCTTCTCCCACCTCCAGACCGAGGGTCCTTTGAAATTCATTATGCTGATTTTACCCTAATAACCTCATGATGGTAAGAATGATCACAGGAGTGCGAAAAGCTTCCATGGCCTCTCAGGGACAGTATTAGTCTTGGAAGAAGGTAATGTTTTTAACCCCACCACAGGTTAGCTCGGGGACTTTAAGCAAGACATGTAACATTTGGAGCATTGCTGTCTGCTAAAATAAAACATAGGTGGGTTAAATGATATTTGTAATTTTTCCCTGCACTTTAAAGTTCTCTTTTAAATTATTTTACATTTATTTTTATGTTGTGGATAACATTTTCAATAGGAATCTACGTGTAGCCAGAAAAATGAAAAGGTGTTAATTATTTTGTGGAGCTATACTGACATCATTTGGTGGTAAGGTTCTGGTTCATTATACTGGTTTGGCTTTATTACAATTTAATGGGGATATATAAATAGGGAGATCATCAGATGGTTGATAAGTAGATCCATTCATATATATTTACACTCTGCCCATACATACACTAATTTAAGGATGAAATTAATATTCATAAGAAGAAAAGTTTAAAAAGACTGTATTAAGTGCAAAATCTAAATAATTTAACACTAATTATGCACTTAAATTGTTCATAAAATATTTTATCTTTAAATCTTTGCAAAGCAAAGCTGGTAAGGTTAGGCAGACAAAACTGCTCACGGACCTTCCAGTATGATGAGCCAAATGTGTTTCCCTTATGACAATAAGCCGCCTAGCAAGGTACTGGGAGAATCGAGAGGAGAAAGTTCACCTAAGAACTAAAAATAAACATTTGAAACCTTAGCAAACATCACTCTGGGAACCTATCCGATCCAGTTGTGATTAAACTTGACTCTCCGTGAATAGTTGTGCTTGGTCGTCTGCTGTGAGGACCTGGGAGGGAATATCTAAGCCAGAAGGCTCTGTTTCAAAAAATGCACGGAGCAGTTGCAGCATCTCTGTTGCTGGGGCTGTGTTACGGACACAGGCGGATTAGATTGGGCTGATTACCTTAGCCTTGAAACAGAGAGTCTTTCTGGCCGGCGGGGGAGGGGACGCCTCTCCTGCCAAGCCCTCCTCGCTGCGCCCTCCCCTCGCATTCACTTGCAAATCGCACTGTGCAGCCGGAGCCAGCGCTTCCCAGTCTCCAACCTTCCCATGGCGAGCGCTGCAGCTCTATCAGCAGAACCTTTCTCTCCGAGTGAGGAAGGGCTTTTTTCCCCTTTTCCTTTTTTGTTTTTTTTCCCCCTTAATCAGAAGCACTGAATGAAAGCCAATCAGAGAGAGAGCTCGCCCCCGTTTTCCTCGGTTCCCTGCCGTCCAGAGTTAAAAGTGATGCTGAGAAAAAGCTTGAGTTAGATTGAAGTAGAAGCAGTGATAGAAAATAACAGCAGAAAACAAACAAAAAGGGGACCTGGTGACAATTTCTCCAGGCTTATTTTGGCTGGAATCAACTTCCGTTATCCAGAAGCTGATAAAAAAGGTAGGAAGACTTCACCTCTTTTCTTATAACTCCCTTAAGGTCTTTATTTTTCTTCCCCTGGGGGGAGATACCTTTGTTTTTTTAAGTTGTATTTATCAGTTATTTTAAAATAAATATCTTCAATAAATGAATACATGTACAACTCTGAAAATCCAGAAAGAACAGCATTGAATACCTATAAAGGTAATGCAAACCTGGATAAATTATATATTATGCTCAACAGTGGGTCATGGTATTAGAGTTTACAAATTCATCACTCTGAACAAATATTTAGAATATTATAGAGTGTTATTAGTCATGCTCATACTTGTGTACCTTTATTTTAAAAAAAAATCGGTTGAAGAGAAAACATCGTTGCTGTGAACTCTTAACATTGCCTAACATTACTTTGCATTCCATATGAATGGATTCACTCTGCACTTATTCATAGTCATAGTTCATTGTACGCTCAATAGAAAGAGAAATGACAGGCAGAAGACAGATTCCTTGAAGCTGTCGATGGTCACTAAGCATCTACTTAAATACAGTAAATTGACATTCATCAGAAACAAAATGGGCATAATTTCTATATTCACATTTTATATCTGAGTCAGAAGTATGAGGGGGGCAATGATAGAGAAGGGGAGATGAAATATATGTAGTCAGCAGTTGCAGCCTTTATTGTCTCTGCTGCAATAAAATCCATATTTTATGTGGTGTTAAATTAATGCAGCATATTGAAAGTCTAAATGCATGTCCCCAACAAGTAACTATTGATAGCACTGTAAGTAGGGGCAAAACCAGTAGTCTGGAAGTGTTTTGATGGAACCACAATAAAAACCTACTGTCTCTTTGTCATTAAAAGAGGTAGTGTACAGGTACAATCAAAGACAAGTCATTTTAAAAATGACCTTGCATCTTTGGCTTTCAGAAAAATATAAGACAGATCTGTTGCCTATAACTGTGGTCCTTCATTCCAGTAAAAGCTTTTATTATCCAAAACTATGCACCCATTACTTCTCAGCTTTTTGGAAATGCATTATTTTTCTTCTTCTTTTTTTTTTTCCTCTTGAAAGATTTATATTAAAAATAATCTGTCCCTCTGATGCTGACAACTGTTATACTTCACTGCATATGTTAGTAGACTTTCTCCCTTCACACCATCCCCCTCTCTATCCTTCTTTAAAACGTAGCTACAAGAGCTTCTCTGTGGTGAATAACACTTGGCAAGAGTGTGCTCATTTTTTAGGTCTGGTATGGTGAGGATTTTTAATTAGTAGAACTTTCGTGAAAACATTATGTCATTGACAGAACTGCATGTGCATTTCTAGTTAAAGTGATGAGTTAAAAATAAGAGGTTGTGTCCTAGGGAAATGGGTAAATGATAAGTTGCATAGATAATCTGGCCCCATCACCCCGGTGGAGTAATGTGGCACATCTCTCTCCAATGTGCAATGCATAAGGAAAGAGTCTTTATTTGGGGAGAGTGGAATGAAGGATTGGAAAGTGAACAAACAGAACAACCTGGTCTGTGGCTGAGGAACATAGGAAATGCAAAACCATTCTGATGACAAAAATACAAAACCTTGCTGTTTTCATTTCCTTTCACTATGTCTTTCTGTTTTTTTTTTTTTTTTTTTTTTCTTTTCCTCTGTTTTTAAAGTGTGAGTCAATATCTGCTTTCATTAAATCAGATACTTCTTTGGTTTCAAATACTTGCTGCTAACAAATTGAGCTCCCTGGTGAATATGTATGCCTTTACCAACTCTCATCAAAGAATAAAATCCCCTACACTTAGATGTTAGAGGGAAAATCAGGGAAGTGGATGGGGAACCAGAATGTATACTGTATGAGAACCCATGTACATACGCGTATGCATGAGGTTAATGGGCACCTGGTACCTGATTAATGGCCCAGGGGATGTTCCTAGATGTACATATAAATGAGCTGTTTATTAAATTGAATAAAACTATACAGGTATACAGTTTAATGTTACACTGTTAGGTTTTTACCAAGATTTAGGTTTTCCTTGAAAAAGAAAACTAGGTAAATAAATTATTTATTTCTATCTACAAAGATCTCCAATTCTGGCAGGTTTTGAAGAAAGTTCACGTAATCAGGAAGAGGTATGCATTCTTTCTTATTCAGATTGGTGTATCTAAAACTGAGAAGGTTAAATGAGAAATATGTGCAATATGTGAAATCTGCTCAGAGCACAGGGTGAAGTTCTTAGCCTGCACTTACTGCCCCCCATAAGTGGCTGAAGCCAGGTCTGTATGAGCAGGGGCTTGCTTGACATAGGACTTATTTCCTGTGCTTCTTAACCTACTTTGCAGCAGTGATAGCACTGTGTCCTTCTGGAATATGTCATTTTTATACCAGACCATTCCAGTAGGCTGCAGCACAGGAAGAGTATTGGCTCCAATGATGCTGATTCAGCAGCAAAGTCAATCATATCTTTATTAAGTATTATTGTTAGTAATAATGTCTCACGGTAAGCAATTATTGCCAATCAGGGACGTAAACTCAACTCCCTCTGAATTTTGGGTTTTCAAAGCATTAGGTGCAATGCATTTGTAGTTCAACTGCATTTTAATACTGCTGTCACATTAAATATGCATATAAAATAATGAAATAAGGTATAAATAAATATAAAATATATTTATGTGATTCATAAGTAATTTTATGCATATATTTAATCTCTGAATTTTAGGTCTATATTTTCCATTTATTTTAATCCCAAATTCTAGTCTGTGGTAGGATTTCAGAAGGGTCAACTTACAAACCAAATTACACTTAAGAGCCATGTCTGAAATACACAGTTAAAAACCAAGTAGCAAAAAAGATTAATTTATATTTTTAGATATATACTGAGGAATGGCAAAATGTATTAGGCATTGCTTTAATTGTACTGTATAGTACCTATTATGGTATTTTTGGGGAAAAGCAGAGTCTAAGCAATAACATGAATACACAGTTAAAAATGAAATTTAATGTAGAAAAAACTAATTTTCTTTGTATGATATTTGTGCGAAGAAATGAGTTCATCTAGTAAACTTTATTTTATAATTGAAATAACCTGAAATATACAGATGGACAGAAAAAGTCCTTAATTTACATTTTTAGAAGTCTGCCTTTGTTTTTGTATTTAATGCACTTGAACCATGATCACGCATGAGTATCACATTTTTTCCTTTTATTTCAATAAGTTCAAAAGTTCAAATTACAAGGTTTGTACACATGTTACAAGAAAATTTTCAATCAACAAGCAGTGCCTGTTTTCTAAGATAAAAATATCAGCTCAGTGTTACTTCTGGTCTGACTTCTCACAGCCTCACCTGAGCTGATATTTTGTATGATCCTGGGCACCCTTTACAATCCAGTTGTGCTGCCTGTCTTAATCGGAAGGGGGCCTAAAGCAAATGAGGCCATTTGCTTTTGCATACGTTGTTTCAAGACTCAGTGCAGCTAAATGTAAGAGATATGCACTGAAAGAAAATAAAGTGTATCAACATTGAAGCTGTAGATTGTTGGGAGTGTGGGAACCTTAATGAAATATTAACATTGACCAGTTAATCTACAGTTTTTTAAACAATTTTGCCAGAACAACTTTTGCTTAACTCTTTGTTATTAATTCAATTTCCCATAAAATGTAACTTTTGATTTTTTAAGAAGAAAAGTGCTTTATTTTTTTCCTGTTTCTTTCTATTCTTCAATTCTTTGTTGCAATGTATGTGTTGCCCTGTCCTCTCCATGACTAAGAAAGATTTGATAAACATTATTCATATTGGAGGTAGAATTTTAATAAAGGAAAGCTGCAGGTTGAATAAGAATGGCTAAAACAAAAGCACATTTTATAGCTTTTTAGGATGTAGAATTCCTTGAAAATAATGTTTTCTATTGGGTGAGTGAAATGCCTTCATGAGACAGTCCCTTGCAGCAAAGAGATTTATATCCCTTAAGAGTTGAACAGTGGCATTAGCAAACACTTTATCAAGTTATGTGATCCCAGTTTTCTTTTCAGAAAGCACTCTCAATTCCACATAATCTATGTGCTGCTGTTATATAAATTAAAGTTAATAAAGTTAAATGACATTTCAAGCTTCAGGACAAAATTACCCAACAGGCCATAAGATATAACTTTGTCTTAGAATAGGAAATTTAGCATTAAATACCATCTAAACCCATCAGAGCCTTGCTGATCCTCATTAATTTAGCAAAACATGCTCTCTCACCTCTTCTGCCCTCTCTCTCTCTCTCTCTCTTCTATTCACCCCTCATTTATGACAATTGCAAAAGTTTTTGAATAAATGTTCTATGTGCTTTTTACAATTACCTTATATCCAGTGACTTTTTTTGTAGATCTCCTGATACTTGGGGCCAGTATTCTAACATCTTGCAGCATCACACCATGGATTTCTTGCATTATCCCTTAGATCATAGCATAAAGTATATGACAGTTCAGTGGCTAGAGCATGTCCTTTAAAATGAAAGCAATTCTTATCACACTGAAGCTTCTAAGGAGTTGAAATTGGTACCAATATAGTTTATTCAACTACTAAGCAAAGTATAAGTATTCAGCATTTATTAATGAAATGACTTCTACAAATAATCAGAATATAGACTATATAGACATGAGTTATTATACTCAATGCTTCAGTTATTGACTGGGAATCTGTGCTGATTTACTGTAAGAAAAAATATTGAAGTAGTGTGACAGAGCCTTGATTTTAACTATAAATTAAACATAAATTGCTTATTTCTAGAAAGCAATGATTTCTTCTCTGTTGTAAGAAACCTATATATAAACTTGTAATCTGAGAAAGTATATGGACATGTAGTGAAAAATGTCTATTCTTAATATTATGGAGTAAAGAACTATCATTGGGTCTTGGGTATCTATCTGAAAATTTGAGAAACAAATTAGAGCAATAATTAAGGTTGAGCAGAATGTGTGGCAAATTAATATAATCACAAATATGAGTAAAATAGTTTAATGAGTTATTCTAGTTTGTTTCTAT